TAGGCTCTGACCTCACACTGGGAACCTCATGTAGGCTCTGACCTCACACTGGGACCTCATGTAGGCTCTGACCTCACACTGGGACCTCATGTAGGCTCTGACCTCACACTGGGACCTCATGTAGGCTCTGACCTCACACTGGGGACCTCATGTAGGCTCTGACCTCACACTGGGACCTCATGTAGGCTCTGACCTCACACTGGGACCTCATGTAGGCTCTGACCTCACACTGGGACCTCATGTAGGCTCTGACCTCACACTGGGACCTCATGTAGGCTCTGACCTCACACTGGGACCTCATGTAGGCTCTGACCTCACACTGGGACCTCATGTAGGCTCTGACCTCACACTGGGACCTCATGTAGGCTCTGACCTCACACTGGGACCTCATGTAGGCTCTGACCTCACACTGGGACCTCATGTAGGCTCTGACCTCACACTGGGAACCTCATGTAGGCTCTGACCTCACACTGGGACCTCATGTAGGCTCTGACCTCACACTGGGACCTCATGTAGGCTCTGACCTCACACTGGGACCTCATGTAGGCTCTGACCTCACACTGGGACCTCATGTAGGCTCTGACCTCACACTGGGACCTCATGTAGGCTCTGACCTCACACTGGGACCTCATGTAGGCTCTGACCTCACACTGGGACCTCATGTAGGCTCTGACCTCACACTGGGACCTCATGTAGGCTCTGACCTCACACTGGGACCTCATGTAGGCTCTGACCTCACACTGGGACCTCATGTAGGCTCTGACCTCACACTGGGACCTCATGTAGGCTCTGACCTCACACTGGGACCTCATGTAGGCTCTGACCTCACACTGGGACCTCATGTAGGCTCTGACCTCACACTGGGACCTCATGTAGGCTCTGACCTCACACTGGGACCTCATGTAGGCTCTGACCTCACACTGGGACCTCATGTAGGCTCTGACCTCACACTGGGACCTCATGTAGGCTCTGACCTCACACTGGGACCTCATGTAGGCTCTGACCTCACACTGGGACCTCATGTAGGCTCTGACCTCACACTGGGACCTCATGTAGGCTCTGACCTCACACTGGGACCTCATGTAGGCTCTGACCTCACACTGGGACCTCATGTAGGCTCTGACCTCACACTGGGACCTCATGTAGGCTCTGACCTCACACTGGGACCTCATGTAGGCTCTGACCTCACACTGGGACCTCATGTAGGCTCTGACCTCACACTGGGACCTCATGTAGGCTCTGACCTCACACTGGGACCTCATGTAGGCTCTGACCTCACACTGGGACCTCATGTAGGCTCTGACCTCACACTGGGACCTCATGTAGGCTCTGACCTCACACTGGGACCTCATGTAGGCTCTGACCTCACACTGGGACCTCATGTAGGCTCTGACCTCACACTGGGACCTCATGTAGGCTCTGACCTCACACTGGGACCTCATGTAGGCTCTGACCTCACACTGGGACCTCATGTAGGCTCTGACCTCACACTGGGACCTCATGTAGGCTCTGACCTCACACTGGGACCTCATGTAGGCTCTGACCTCACACTGGGACCTCATGTAGGCTCTGACCTCACACTGGGACCTCATGTAGGCTCTGACCTCACACTGGGACCTCATGTAGGCTCTGACCTCACACTGGGACCTCATGTAGGCTCTGACCTCACACTGGGACCTCATGTAGGCTCTGACCTCACACTGGGACCTCATGTAGGCTCTGACACTGGGACCTCATGTAGGCTCTGACCTCACACTGGGACCTCATGTAGGCTCTGACCTCACACTGGGACCTCATGTAGGCTCTGACCTCACACTGGGACCTCATGTAGGCTCTGACCTCACACTGGGACCTCATGTAGGCTCTGACCTCACACTGGGACCTCATGTAGGCTCTGACCTCACACTGGGACCTCATGTAGGCTCTGACCTCACACTGGGACCTCATGTAGGCTCTGACCTCACACTGGGACCTCATGTAGGCTCTGACCTCACACTGGGACCTCATGTAGGCTCTGACCTCACACTGGGACCTCATGTAGGCTCTGACCTCACACTGGGACCTCATGTAGGCTCTGACCTCACACTGGGACCTCATGTAGGCTCTGACCTCACACTGGGACCTCATGTAGGCTCTGACCTCACACTGGGACCTCATGTAGGCTCTGACCTCACACTGGGACCTCATGTAGGCTCTGACCTCACACTGGGACCTCATGTAGGCTCTGACCTCACACTGGGACCTCATGTAGGCTCTGACCTCACACTGGGACCTCATGTAGGCTCTGACCTCACACTGGGACCTCATGTAGGCTCTGACCTCACACTGGGACCTCATGTAGGCTCTGACCTCACACTGGGACCTCATGTAGGCTCTGACCTCACACTGGGACCTCATGTAGGCTCTGACCTCACACTGGGACCTCATGTAGGCTCTGACCTCACACTGGGACCTCATGTAGGCTCTGACCTCACACTGGGACCTCATGTAGGCTCTGACCTCACACTGGGACCTCATGTAGGCTCTGACCTCACACTGGGACCTCATGTAGGCTCTGACCTCACACTGGGACCTCATGTAGGCTCTGACCTCACACTGGGACCTCATGTAGGCTCTGACCTCACACTGGGACCTCATGTAGGCTCTGACCTCACACTGGGACCTCATGTAGGCTCTGACCTCACACTGGGACCTCATGTAGGCTCTGACCTCACACTGGGACCTCATGTAGGCTCTGACCTCACACTGGGACCTCATGTAGGGACCTCACACTGACCTCATGTAGGCTCCTCACACTGGGACCTCATGTAGGCTCTGACCTCACACTGGGACCTCATGTAGGCTCTGACCTCACACTGGGACCTCATGTAGGCTCTGACCTCACACTGGGACCTCATGTAGGCTCTGACCTCACACTGGGACCTCATGTAGGCTCTGACCTCACACTGGGACCTCATGTAGGCTCTGACCTCACACTGGGACCTCATGTAGGCTCTGACCTCACACTGGGACCTCATGTAGGCTCTGACCTCACACTGGGACCTCATGTAGGCTCTGACCTCACACTGGGACCTCATGTAGGCTCTGACCTCACACTGGGACCTCATGTAGGCTCTGACCTCACACTGGGACCTCATGTAGGCTCTGACCTCACACTGGGACCTCATGTAGGCTCTGACCTCACACTGGGACCTCATGTAGGCTCTGACCTCACACTGGGACCTCATGTAGGCTCTGACCTCACACTGGGACCTCATGTAGGCTCTGACCTCACACTGGGACCTCATGTAGGCTCTGACCTCACACTGGGACCTCATGTAGGCTCTGACCTCACACTGGGACCTCATGTAGGCTCTGACCTCACACTGGGACCTCATGTAGGCTCTGACCTCACACTGGGACCTCATGTAGGCTCTGACCTCACACTGGGACCTCATGTAGGCTCTGACCTCACACTGGGACCTCATGTAGGCTCTGACCTCACACTGGGACCTCATGTAGGCTCTGACCTCACACTGGGACCTCATGTAGGCTCTGACCTCACACTGGGACCTCATGTAGGCTCTGACCTCACACTGGGACCTCATGTAGGCTCTGACCTCACACTGGGACCTCATGTAGGCTCTGACCTCACACTGGGACCTCATGTAGGCTCTGACCTCACACTGGGACCTCATGTAGGCTCTGACCTCACACTGGGACCTCATGTAGGCTCTGACCTCACACTGGGACCTCATGTAGGCTCTGACCTCACACTGGGACCTCATGTAGGCTCTGACCTCACACTGGGACCTCATGTAGGCTCTGACCTCACACTGGGACCTCATGTAGGCTCTGACCTCACACTGGGACCTCATGTAGGCTCTGACCTCACACTGGGACCTCATGTAGGCTCTGACCTCACACTGGGACCTCATGTAGGCTCTGACCTCACACTGGGACCTCATGTAGGCTCTGACCTCACACTGGGACCTCATGTAGGCTCTGACCTCACACTGGGACCTCATGTAGGCTCTGACCTCACACTGGGACCTCATGTAGGCTCTGACCTCACACTGGGACCTCATGTAGGCTCTGACCTCACACTGGGACCTCATGTAGGCTCTGACCTCACACTGGGACCTCATGTAGGCTCTGACCTCACACTGGGACCTCATGTAGGCTCTGACCTCACACTGGGACCTCATGTAGGCTCTGACCTCACACTGGGACCTCATGTAGGCTCTGACCTCACACTGGGACCTCATGTAGGCTCTGACCTCACACTGGGACCTCATGTAGGCTCTGACCTCACACTGGGACCTCATGTAGGCTCTGACCTCACACTGGGACCTCATGTAGGCTCTGACCTCACACTGGGACCTCATGTAGGCTCTGACCTCACACTGGGACCTCATGTAGGCTCTGACCTCACACTGGGGACCTCATGTAGGCTCTGACCTCACACTGGGACCTCATGTAGGCTCTGACCTCACACTGGGACCTCATGTAGGCTCTGACCTCACACTGGGACCTCATGTAGGCTCTGACCTCACACTGGGACCTCATGTAGGCTCTGACCTCACACTGGGACCTCATGTAGGCTCTGACCTCACACTGGGACCTCATGTAGGCTCTGACCTCACATGTGGGACCCTCATGTAGGCTCTGACCTGGACCTCACACTGGGACCTCATGTAGGCTCTGACCTCACACTGGGACCTCATGTAGGCTCTGACCTCACCACTGGGACCTCATGTAGGCTCTGACCTCACACTGGGACCTCATGTAGGCTCTGACCTCACACTGGGACCTCATGTAGGCTCTGGACCTCACACTGGGACCTCATGTAGGCTCTGACCTCACACTGGGACCTCATGTAGGCTCTGACCTCACACTGGGACCTCATGTAGGCTCTGACCTCACACTGGGACCTCATGTAGGCTCTGACCTCACACTGGGACCTCATGTAGGCTCTGACCTCACACTGGGACCTCATGTAGGCTCTGACCTCTGACCCCCTGACCTCTGCAGGAGAGGCAGCAGGAGAGTCAGGGAGCTGTGGTGGCAGGGCCTCCCCCGAGTGTGAGAGGCCGAGTGTGGAGCTGACCTCACACGGCACGAGCTCAAAACCAGGTACACGCTCTACAGCACAGGTACACGCCCTACAGCACAGGTACACGCCCTACATCACAGGTACACGCCCTACATCACAGGTACACGCCCTACATCACAGGTACACGCCCTACATCACAGGTACACGCCCTACATCACAGGTACACGCCCTACAGCACAGGTACACGCCCTACAGCACAGGTACACGCCCTACATCACAGGTACACGCCCTACATCACAGGTACACGCCCTACAGCACAGGTACACGCCCTACATCCCAGGTACACGCCCTACATCACAGGTACACGCCCTACATCACAGGTACACGCCCTACATCACAGGTACACGCCCTACAGCACAGGTACACGCCCTACAGCACAGGTACATGCCCTACAGCACAGGTACACGCCCTACATCACAGGTACACGCCCTACAGCACAGGTACACGCCCTACATCACAGGTACACGCCCTACATCACAGGTACACGCCCTACATCACAGGTACACGCCCTACATCCCAGGTACACGCCCTACATCACAGGTACACGCCCTACATCACAGGTACACGCCCTACATCACAGGTACACGCCCTACAGCACAGGTACACGCCCTACATCACAGGTACACGCCCTACAGCACAGGTACACGCCCTACAGCACAGGTACACGCCTACATCACAGGTACACGCCCTACATCACAGGTACACGCCCTACATCACAGGTACACGCCCTACATCACAGGTACACGCCCTACATCCCAGGTACACGCCCTACATCCCAGGTACACGCCCTACATCACAGGTACACGCCCTACAGCACAGGTACACGCCCTACATCACAGGTACACGCCCTACATCCCAGGTACACGCCCTACAGCACAGGTACACGCCCTACATCACAGGTACACGCCCTACATCACAGGTACACGCCCTACATCACAGGTACACGCCCTACATCCCAGGTACACGCCCTACATCACAGGTACACGCCCTACATCACAGGTACACGCCCTACATCCCAGGTACACGCCCTACATCCCAGGTACACGCCCTACAGCACAGGTACACGCCCTACATCCCAGGTACACGCCCTACAGCACAGGTACACGCCCTACATCCCAGGTACACGCCCTACATCACAGGTACACGCCCTACATCACAGGTACACGCCCTACATCCCAGGTACACGCCCTACATCACAGGTACACGTACACGCCCTACATCACAGGTACACGCCCTACATCCCAGGTACACGCCCTACATCCCAGGTACACGCCCTACATCACAGGTACACGCCCTACATCACAGGTACACGCCCTACATCCCAGGTACACGCCCTACATCCCAGGTACACGCCCTACAGCACAGGTACACGCCCTACAGCACAGGTACACGCCCTACATCACAGGTACACGCCCTACATCCCAGGTACACGCCCTACATCACAGGTACACGCCTACATCACAGGTACACGCCCTACAGCACAGGTACACGCCCTACAGCACAGGTACACGCCCTACAGCACAGGTACACGCCCTACAGCACAGGTACACGCCCTACATCACAGGTACACGCCCTACATCACAGGTACACGCCCTACATCACAGGTACACGCCCTACATCACAGGTACACGCCCTACAGCACAGGTACACGCCCTACAGCACAGGTACACGCCCTACAGCACAGGTACACGCCCTACAGCACAGGTACACGCCCTACAGCACAGGTACACGCCTACACCAGGTACACCCTACATCACAGGTACACGCCTACATCACAGGTACACGCCCTACAGCACAGGTACACGCCCTACATCACAGGTACACGCCCTACAGCACAGGTACACGCCCTACACACAGGTACACGCCCTACATCACAGGTACACGCCCTACATCACAGGTACACGCCCTACATCACAGGTACACGCCTACACCAGGTACACGCCTACATCACAGGTACACGCCTACAGCCAGGTACACGCCTACATCCAGGTACACGCCCTACAGCACAGGTACACGCCCTACATCACAGGTACACGCCCTACATCACAGGTACACGCCCTACATCACAGGTACACGCCCTACATCCAGGTACACGCCCTACACACAGGTACACGCCCTACAGCACAGGTACACGCCCTACAGCACAGGTACACGCCCTACAGCACAGGTACACGCCCTACAGCACAGGTACACGCCCTACATCACAGGTACACGCCCTACATCACAGGTACACGCCCTACATCACAGGTACACGCCCTACATCACAGGTACACGCCTACACACAGGTACACGCCCTACATCACAGGTACACGCCCTACAGCACAGGTACACGCCCTACATCACAGGTACACGCCCTACATCACAGGTACACGTCCTACAGCACAGGTACACGCCCTACATCCAGGTACACGCCCTACATCACAGGTACACGCCCTACATCACAGGTACACGCCCTACATCCAGGTACACGCCCTACATCACAGGTACACGTCCTACAGCACAGGTACACGCCCTACATCACAGGTACACGCCCTACATCACAGGTACACGTCCTACACACAGGTACGCCCTACATCACAGGTACACGCCCTACATCACAGGTACACGCCCTACATCACAGGTACACGCCCTACAGCACAGGTACACGCCCTACATCCCAGGTACACGCCCTACATCACAGGTACACGCCCTACATCCAGGTACACGCCCTACACGCCCTACACCAGGTACACGCCCTACAGCACAGGTACACGCCCTACATCCCAGGTACACGCCCTACATCCAGGTACACGCCCTACCCAGGTACACGCCCTACAGTCACCAGGTACACGCCCTACATCCCAGGTACACGCCCTACATCCCAGGTACACGCCCTACATCACAGGTACACGCCCTACATCACAGGTACACGCCCTACATCCAGGTACACGCCCTACATCCCAGGTACACGCCCTACAGCACAGGTACACGCCCTACATCCCAGGTACACGCCCTACATCCCAGGTACACGCCCTACATCACAGGTACACGCCCTACAGCACAGGTACACGCCCTACATCACAGGTACACGCCCTACATCACAGGTACACGCCCTACATCCCAGGTACACGCCCTACAGCACAGGTACACGCCCTACATCCCAGGTACACGCCCAATATCACAGGTACACGTCCTACAGCACAGGTACACGCCCTACATCACAGGTACACGCCCTACATCACAGGTAAACGTCCTTCAGCACAGGTACACGCCCTACATCACAGGTACACGCCCTACATCACAGGTACACGTCCTACATCACAGGTACACGCCCTACATCACAGGTACACGCCCTACATCACAGGTACACGTCCTACAGCACAGGTACACGCCCTACAGCACAGGTACACGCCCTACATCACAGGTACACGCCCTACAGCACAGGTACACGCCCTACATCACAGGTACACGCCCTACAGCACAGGTACACGTCCTACAGCACAGGTACACGCCCTACATCACAGGTACACGCCCTACATCACAGGTACACGCCCTACAGCACAGGTACACGTCCTACATCACAGGTACAAGCCCTACATCACAGGTACACGCCCTACATCACAGGTACACGCCCTACATCACAGGTACACGTCCTACAGCACAGGTACACGCCCTACATCACAGGTACACGCCCTACATCACAGGTACACGTCCTACAGCACAGGTACACGCCCTACATCACAGGTACACGCCCTACATCACAGGTACACGTCCTACAGCACAGGTACACGCCCTACATCACAGGTACACGCCCTACATCACAGGTACACGTCCTACATCACAGGTACACGCCCTACATCACAGGTACACGCCCTACATCACAGGTACACGTCCTACAGCACAGGTACACGCCCTACATCCCAGGTACACGCCCTACATCACAGGTACACGTCCTACAGCACAGGTACACGCCCTACATCACAGGTACACGCCCTACAGCACAGGTACACGTCCTACAGCACAGGTACACGCCCTACAGCACAGGTACACGCCCTACATCACAGGTACACGTCCTACAGCACAGGTACACGCCCTACATCACAGGTACACGCCCTACAGCACAGGTACACGTCCTACAGCACAGGTACACGTCCTACAGCACAGGTACACGCCCTACATCACAGGTAAACGCCCTACAGCACAGGTACACGCCCTACATCAGCCCCAGGCACATGCTAATTCTAGGGTAAGGAAACATTTTAAGGGCTTTACGGGTGAGAATTGGGACAAGGCTGTTTTCCAACGTGGGGCAAAGATGTTAGCCTGGCTCAGTACCAGACCCATGTGGTCCTAGCCTGGCTCAGTACCAGACCCATGTGGTCCTAGCCTGGCTCAGTACCAGACCCATGTGGTCCTAGCCCGGCTCAGTACCAGACCCATGTGGTCCTAGCCTGGCTCAGTACCAGACCCATGTGGTCCTAGCCTGGCTCAGTACCAGACCCATGTAGTCCTAGCCTGGCTCAGTACCAGACCCATGTAGTCCTAGCCTGGCTCAGTACCAGACCCATGTGGTCCTAGCCTGGCTCAGTACCAGACCCATGTGGTCCTAGCCTGGCTCAGTACCAGACCCATGTGGTCCTAGCCTGGCTCAGTACCAGACCCATGTAGTCCTAGCCTGGCTCAGTACCAGACCCATGTAGTCCTAGCCTGGCTCAGTACCAGACCCATGTGGTCCTAGCCTGGCTCAGTACCAGACCCATGTGGTCCTAGCCTGGCTCAGTACCAGACCCATGTAGTCCTAGCCTGGCTCAGTACCAGACCCATGTGGTCCTAGCCTGGCTCAGTACCAGACCCATGTAGTCCTAGCCTGGCTCAGTACCAGACCCATGTAGTCCTAGCCTGGCTCAGTACCAGACCCATGTAGTCCTAGCCTGGCTCAGTACCAGACCCATGTAGTCCTAGCCTGGCTCAGTACCAGACCCATGTGGTCCTAGCCTGGCTCAGTACCAGACCCATGTGGTCCTAGCCTGGCTCAGTACCAGACCCATGTGGTCCTAGCCTGGCTCAGTACCAGACCCATATAGTCCTAGCCTGGCTCAGTACCAGACCCATGTAGTCCTAGCCTGGCTCAGTACCAGACCCATGTGGTCCTAGCCTGGCTCAGTACCAGACCCATGTGGTCCTAGCCTGGCTCAGTACCAGACCCATATAGTCCTAGCCTGGCTCAGTACCAGACCCATGTGGTCCTAGCCTGGCTCAGTACCAGACCCATATAGTCCTAGCCTGGCTCAGTACCAGACCCATGTGGTCCTAGCCTGGCTCAGTACCAGACCCATATAGTCCTAGCCTGGCTCAGTACCAGACCCATGTGGTCCGCTGCACTTCACATGAGTCTGGTACTGAGCCACAGTGGTTGGATTTCAGAAGGCAGGGCCTTGTAAAAAAAATCCTTGTATGTGATTGGACAGACCACTTGTCCGTTATCTTGAATGAAGTCTGCTTTCAGCCACTCACATCGAAGCACACGGCTCCCATAGGTTGCCAAATCCCAGCAAGATTTTCCAACCCAAAATCCGCGAGAAAACCCAAAAAAAAAACACTCAATGATTTTTTGGCTAAAAACTTAATATAATCAACGGGCTATCATGATTGTGTTTATTGTCTTTCTGTTTATTTAATACCTACAAGTCTCTTGGAAAAAAATATGCGGGAACCACCAAACCTGGCAACCCTGCTGCATAGTGAGTAAACAGGAACACTGAACCAGTCCTTCAACCAAACTTTACAGGAACATTTGACTCTTAAAACACACATAATTCAAGTATTTACTCTTTTAAAAAGATTCGCGGACTTTACGTCCGCCATCTTGGATTCCTCTCGCTGCTGCATGAGAGAAGCTTGAGAAGGCAGAACCCCACGTAGCACCGGCAATCCTGATTGGTCGATTAAAAAATAATCTGGGGAAGGCGTTGGCTATGGGCTCGATACCAGACCCATGTGGTTCAGCCAAATGCCTCTGGTGGAGCACGGCGGAACTACAAGGGTCTGGCAGAGCCAGGCTACAAAGACGGTACCACTGAACACAAACTCTACATATATATAATGGATATACACTGCTCACAAAACTTGGGGCACACTCAGAAAACACATCCTAGATGTCAATCAATTCGAATTTTTGGATGAGAATCTTTATTTATAGTGTGTTGAGAACAAAATAACATATGAATGATAAATGGAAATCAAATTCTCAGCCCCTGGAGGTCTGGATCCAAAATTATAGTCAAAATCAAAGTGACAAGTGAGGTAACTGGTTGATCCAAATTCTGTAGAAGTTCCACAAAATGAGTCTGTGTCATCTTCAGTCGTGTGTGTGGCCTCCATGTCTGAATGCACTCCCTACAACGCCTGGGCCTGCTCCTGGTGAGACCACGGAGGTCCTCCTGAGGGATCTCCTCCCAGACCTGGCATTGAGTATCGGTCAGCTCCTGGACAGTCTGTGGTGCAACGTGATGGATGGACCGAGACATGATGTCCCAGATGTGCTCTAATGGATTTAAGTCTGGGCCAGGCCAGGCCAGTCCAAAACATCAATACCTTCATCATGCAGGAAGCCATGGAGGTCATTTTGTAGGGCTCGGGCAGTGCTTCTCCTGTTTCTTTGTGCACAAATGAGCAGATAGCGGTCCTGCTCCTGGGTTGTTGACCTCGGTTGGCCCCCCCAGGTCTCCTGGTGTACTGGCCTGTCTCCTTGTGTACTGGCCTGTCTCCTTGTGTACTGGCCTGTCTCCTGGTGTACTGGCCTGTCTCCTGGTGTACTGGCCTGTCTCCTTGTGTACTGGCCTGTCTCCTTGTGTACTGGCCTGTCTCCTTGTGTCTGGCCTGTCTCCTGGTGTACTGGCCTGTCTCCTGGTGTACTGGCCTGTCTCCTTGTGTACTGGCCTGTCTCCTGGTGTACTGGCCTGTCTCCTGGTGTACTGGCCTGTCTCCTTGTGTACTGGCCTGTCTCCTGGTGTACTGGCCTGTCTCCTGGTGTACTGGCCTGTCTCCTGGTGTACTGGCCTGTCTCCTGGTGTACTGGCCTGTCTCCTGGTGTACTGGCCTGTCTCCTTGTGTACTGGCCTGTCTCCTTGTGTACTGGCCTGTCTCCTGGTGTACTGGCCTGTCTCCTGGTGTCTGTGTACCTGTCTCCTGTGTACTGGCCTGTCTCCTTGTGTACTGGCCTGTCTCCTGGTGTACTGGCCTGTCTCCTGGTGTACTGGCCTGTCTCCTTGTGTACTGGCCTGTCTCCTGGTGTACTGGCCTGTCTCCTGGTGTACTGGCCTGTCTCCTGGTGTACTGGCCTGTCTCCTGGTGTACTGGCCTGTCTCCTTGTGTACTGGCCTGTCTCCTGGTGTACTGGCCTGTCTCCTGGTGTACTGGCCTGTCTCCTGGTGTACTGGCCTGTCTCCTGGTGTACTGGCCTGTCTCCTGGTGTACTGGCCTGTCTCCTGGTGTACTGGCCTGTCTCCTGGTGTACTGGCCTGTCTCCTTGTGTACTGGCCTGTCTCCTGGTGTACTGGCCTGTCGCCTGGTGTACTGGCCTGTCTCCTTGTGTACTGGCCTGTCTCCTTGTGTACTGGCCTGTCTCCTGGTGTACTGGCCTGTCTCCTGGTGTACTGGCCTGTCTCCTGTGTACTGGCCTGTCTCCTGTGTACTGGCCTGTCTCCTGGTGTACTGGCCTGTCTCCTGGTGTACTGGCCTGTCTCCTTGTGTACTGGCCTGTCTCCTGGTGTACTGGCCTGTCTCCTGGTGTACTGGCCTGTCTCCTGGTGTACTGGCCTGTCTCCTGGTGTACTGGCCTGTCTCCTTGTGTACTGGCCTGTCTCCTGGTGTACTGGCCTGTCTCCTGGTGTACTGGCCTGTCTCCTGGTGTACTGGCCTGTCTCCTGGTGTACTGGCCTGTCTCCTGGTGTACTGGCCTGTCTCCTTGTGTACTGGCCTGTCTCCTGGTGTACTGGCCTGTCTCCTGGTGTACTGGCCTGTCTCCTGGTGTACTGGCCTGTCTCCTGGTGTACTGGCCTGTCTCCTGGTGTACTGGCCTGTCTCCTGGTGTACTGGCCTGTCTCCTGGTGTACTGGCCTGTCTCCTGGTGTACTGGCCTGTCTCCTGGTATCTCCTCCATGCTCTGGACACTGCGCTGGGAGACACAGCAAACCTTCCACAGCACAAATGGACGTGCCATTTTGGATGAGCATCACTCCCTGAGCAACTTCTGTGGGTTGTAGATGCCTCCTCATGACACCTCTGGTGGTGAGAACACTGGACAAATGCAAAAGTGTTCCAAAAATATGGTACAAAGGATGAAGACAGAGAAATGGTAATGGTAAAACCATTCCTCTTTTGGAGTGATCTTGCTCTTTTCCTCTCATTTCCACAACATCAAGTGAAATTGATTCACAATAAGTGTGGCTTCCTAACTGGACAGTCTGATATCCCAGAAATTTGACTGACTTGGAGTTACATTGTGTTTTTGTGAGCAGTGTATATTGGAGTATTGTGCACATCTCTGGGTCTGATTGGACCTGAGCTGTGGGGGTTGCAAAGCAGACTTCCATCTATGTGAGGTGGTATTACATGTATCACGGTGTACAGATAACATCATTGGACTGGGCAGAACACTGCCTCATTTATAAAGTTGTACCTGTGTGCAGAGCTGTACGAGATCTTCCTGTCCAGAGCCAAGGAGAAGTGGAGGAGCTACAGCGAGACCAGCTCGGTCACCGACAGCGAGAGCGGTGAGCACAGCAGCTCTCCCCACATCCTCACAAACAAAACATCTGAAAAAAACATCTGTGTGTGTCCAGCAGAGGGCGCCTCGCTGGCAGATAGAGAGTCCAGCCTGGACCTCATCAAACTGGACATCTCCAGAACATTTCCCTCTCTCTTCATCTTCCAGAAGGTATCGTCTGTGCCATAGTCAACATGTCTCCATCCTGCAACACTGACATTCCACTTTGGGACAATCTCTTAAAATAATAGTGTGTGTGCGTGTGTGTGCGTGCAGGGCGGGCCGTACCATGACCTCCTCCACAGTGTGCTGGGGGCCTACACCTGCTACAGACCTGACATTGGCTACGTGAGTTCCACTTCAACATGTTCCAGACACTTTTGAACCATTATCATCTCTCATAGTGGGTAAAGTGTCTTGCCCAAGGACACAACAGCAGACATCCGTGGGAGTCGGTGGAGAAGGTCTCGTGGTGGTCTTGAACCCACGTTTCTTGTTTTTGTCAAATGTAGAAAAAATCCATCATCATTGACAACTAACAACTAATAATGTGAGGAATCATCAGCTCGATTATCAACGTTGTTAACTACAGTCTTAAATATGTAAAAATACTTATGACGCCATTATTTAATTATGTAAGTAACCCAGATCAGAGTCCCAGCAGGAGGCCAGTCCCTGTGCTCCTCAGAGTCCCAGCAGGAGGCCAGTCCCTGTGCTCCTCAGAGTCCCAGCAGGAGGCCAGTCCCTGTGCTCCTCAGAGTCCGAGCAGGAGGCCAGTCCCTGTGCTCCTCAGAGTCTCAGCAGGAGGCCGGTCCCTGTGCTCCTCAGAGTCCCAGCAGGAGGCCGGTCCCTGTGCTCCTCAGAGTCCCAGCAGGAGGCCGGTCCCTGTGCTCCTCAGAGTCCCAGCAGGAGGCCAGTCCCTGTGCTCCTCAGAGTCCCAGCAGGAGGCCGGTCCCTGTGCTCCTCAGAGTCCCAGCAGGAGTCCAGTCCCTGTGCTCCTCAGAGTCCCAGCAGGAGTCCAGTCCCTGTGGTCCTCAGAGTCCCAGCAGGAGGCCAGTCCCTGTGCTCCTCAGAGTCCCAGCAGGAGGCCGGTCCCTGTGCTCCTCAGAGTCCCAGCAGGAGGCCAGTCCCTGTGCTCCTCAGAGTCCCAGCAGGAGTCCAGTCCCTGTGGTCCTCAGAGTCCCAGCAGGAGTCCAGTCCCTGTGGTCCTCAGAGTCCCAGCAGGAGTCCAGTCCCTGTGGTCCTCAGAGTCCCAGCAGGAGGCCAGTCCCTGTGCTCCTCAGAGTCCCAGCAGGAGGCCGGTCCCTGTGCTCCTCAGAGTCCCAGCAGGAGTCCAGTCCCTGTGCTCCTCAGAGTCCCAGCAGGAGGCCAGTCCCTGTGCTCCTCAGAGTCCCAGCAGGAGTCCAGTCCCTGTGCTCCTCAGAGTCCCAGCAGGAGGCCAGTCCCTGTGCTCCTCAGTATCTGAGTTTGTTCATATGGCATGTTCTACAACATTGCGTTCAGAATGAAGACAATGGCAGTTCCTGCAGACCATGGGGATAGCCGTGTGTTTGTGTTTATATGTATGATCACATGTGTGTGTGTTTACATGTATGATCACACATGTGTGTGTTTACATGTATGATCACATGTGTGTGTGTTTACATGTATGATCACACGTGTGTGTGTTTCTGTGTATGATCACACGTGTGTGTGCTTACATGTATGATCACACGTGTGTGTGTTTCCGTGTATGATCACAGATGTGTGTGTTTCCGTGTATGATCACAGGTGTGTGTGTTTCCGTGTATGATCACAGATGTGTGTGTTTCCGTGTATGATCACAGATGTGTGTGTTTCCGTGTATGATCACAGGTGTGTGTGTTTCCGTGTATGATCACAGGTGTGTGTGTTTCCGTGTATGATCACAGATGTGTGTGTTTCCGTGTATGATCACAGATGTGTGTGCTTACGTGTATGATCACAGATGTGTGTGCTTATGTGTATGATCACACGTGTGTGCTTATGTGTATGATCACACGTGTGTGTGTTTCCGTGTATGATCACAGATGTGTGTGTTTCCGTGTATGATCACAGATGTGTGTGTTTCCGTGTATGATCACAGATGTGTGTGCTTATGTGTATGATCACACGTGTGTGTGTTTCCGTGTATGATCACATGTGTAATACCATTCTAATCCTACGTGTGGCGCAGGTGCAGGGCATGTCCTTCATCGCTGCGGTCCTGATCCTGAACCTGGAGGAGGCCGACGCCTTCATCACCTTCGCTAACCTCCTGAACAAACCGTGTCAGATGGCCTTCTTCAGGGTGGACCACGAGCTGGTAACACCTCAACACAACATACATTATACTTTAGACACATTTTACACACATTGGGTGATCCAAAATGGCGTCCTATTCAAATCAGTGGCTTGTTCTCAGTAGAGCACGGGACAGCTATGGGGACCGAAGGATTAGAGGAACTCACTCATATTTGTTTTTTTCTGCTGATCAGAGTGGTGTTAGAGTTTGTTGCCATAAAGTGTTGATTTATAGAAAACGGAAGGATTTTACATGAAAAAAGTTCAGAACGACAAGGGAAACTATAATCCCACAGAATCCTCCTTATGAAAGCTGTAGGTTCTCTGTCAGGTTCTCTGTCCGCTGAGGTCATTCTGTTTCAGATTATAATGAGTAATGCAGTACCACGGCGCCCCCTGTGCCCATTGCTGGGACAACTATAAGATAGTCGTACTCTATCCAGATAATATTATTATGGTCTAATATATGTGTGTATTATATTTGTGTATTTCTGCTGAACCCTGGTGTGTTTGTGTTTGTGTGTGTCTGTGTGTTGCCAGATGCTGAAGTACTTTGCAGCCTTTGAGGTTTTCTTTGAGGAGAACCTGCCTCGGCTTTTTAACCACTTCCAGAGCAACAGCCTCACACCGGACCTGTATCTCATCGACTGGTACTGACACGCACACACAGACGCACACAGACACACACGCACACGCACACACAGATGCTCACAGACACACACACAGACACGCACACACAGACACACACGCACACAGACACACACGCACACAGACACACGCACAGACACGCACACACAGACGCACACAGACACACACGCACACGCACACACAGACGCTCACAGACACACACACAGACACGCACACACAGACACACACGCACACACACAGACACACACGCACACAGACACACGCACAGACACGCACACACAGACGCACACAGACACACACGCACACAGACACACGCACAGACACACACACAGACGCACACAGACACACACGCACACAGACGCACACGCACACACAGACGCTCACAGACACACACACAGACACGCAGACGCGCACACAGACACACGCACAGACACACACACAGACACACACACAGACACACACACACACACGCACACCCAGACGCATCAGTAACCCCGCCCCTCTCCCCCGTCCAGGATCTTCACGCTGTACAGTAAGTCTCTGCCTCTGGACGTGGCGTGCCGGGTGTGGGACGTGTTTTGCCGGGACGGGGAGGAGAGTCTGTTCCGGACCGGGCTGGGCCTGCTGCGGCTGTACCAGGACGTCCTGCTGCAGATGGACTTCATCCACATGGCTCAGTTCCTCACACGTCTGCCCGAAGACCTGCCCGCCCACACGCTCTTCCACGCCATGGCCAACACGCACATGCTGAGCCGCAGCCGCCGCTGGGCACAGGTGCGGGCACATCTGTGTACTCTGCTCTCTATACGCTGCACCTGTGTTTGAGCTGCACCTGTGTGTAAGCTGCACCTGTGTGTAAGCTGCACCTGTGTGTAAGCTGCACCTGTGTGTAAACTGCACCTGTGTGTAAGCTGCACCTGTGTGTAAGCTGCACCTGTGTGTAAACTGCACCTGTGTGTAAACTGCACCTGTGTGTAAGCTGCACCTGTGTGTAAGCTGCACCTGTGTGTAAGCTGCACCTGTGTGTAAGCTGCACCTGTGTGTAAACTGCACCTGTGTGTAAGCTGCACCTGTGTGTAAGCTGCACCTGTGTGTAAGCTGCACCTGTGTGTAAACTGCACCTGTGTGTAAGCTGCACCTGTGTGTAAGCTGCACCTGTGTGTAAGCTGCACCTGTGTGTAAACTGCACCTGTGTGTAAGCTGCACCTGTGTGTAAGCTGCACCTGTGTGTAAGCTGCACCTGTGTGTAAACTGCACCTGTGTGTAAGCTGCACCTGTGTGTAAGCTGCACCTGTGTGTAAGCTGCACCTGTGTGTAAACTGCACCTGTGTGTAAGCTGCACCTGTGTGTAAACTGCACCTGTGTGTAAGCTGCACCTGTGTGTAAGCTGCACCTGTGTGTAAACTGCACCTGTGTGTAAACTGCACCTGTGTGTAAGCTGCACCTGTGTGTAAGCTGCACCTGTGTGTAAGCTGCACCTGTGTGTAAACTGCACCTGTGTGTAAACTGCACCTGTGTGTAAGCTGCACCTGTGTAAGCTGCACCTGTGTGTAAGCTGCACCTGTGTGTAAGCTGCACCTGTGTGTAAACTGCACCTGTGTGTAAGCTGCACCTGTGTGTAAGCTGCACCTGTGTGTAAGCTGCACCTGTGTGTAAACTGCACCTGTGTGTAAGCTGCACCTGTGTGTAAGCTGCACCTGTGTGTAAGCTGCACCTGTGTGTAAACTGCACCTGTGTGTAAGCTGCACCTGTGTGTAAGCTGCACCTGTGTGTAAGCTGCACCTGTGTGTAAACTGCACCTGTGTGTAAGCTGCACCTGTGTGTAAGCTGCACCTGTGTGTAAGCTGCACCTGTGTGTAAGCTGCACCTGTGTGTAAGCTGCACCTGTGTGTAAGCTGCACCTGTGTGTAAGCTGCACCTGTGTGTAAGCTGCACCTGTGTGTAAGCTGCACCTGTGTGTAAGCTGCACCTGTAGTGTCTGATTCTAGTCCTGAGAAAGTATGTGCTGTAGCGACTGAAACTTGATGGAGTCTCTATCACAACTCAAAAACGCATGTTAGCTGCATTGCTACATTAGCCACAGAATTAAAGAAGTAGGAAAAAGTCTATGATCCTGGGATTACGGTCTATGGTGCATGTAACGATTAATGTTAGCATGAAGTAGAAATGTGCTTCAGCGCTGTGACGTGACACATGTGGTATTGCACACAGATTATTGCTCTTTCTGAGATTATTCAGATTATTGCTCTTTCTGAGATTATTCAGATTATTGCTCTTTCTGAGATATTCAGATTATTGCTCTTTCTGAGATATTCAGATTATTGCTCTTTCTGAGATATTCAGATTATTGCTCTTTCTGAGATGATTCAGATTATTGCCCTTTCTGAGATGATTCAGATTATTTCCCTTTCTGAGATGATTCAGATTATTGCCCTTTCTGAGATGATTCAGATTATTGCCCTTTCTGAGATGATTCAGATTATTGCCCTTTCTGAGATGATTCAGATTATTGCCCTTTCTGAGATGATTCAGATTATTGCACATTCTGAGATGATTTAGATTATTGCCCTTTCTGAGATGATTCAGATTATTGCCCTTTCTGAGATGATTTAGATTATTGCCCTTTCTGAGATGATTCAGATTATTGCCCTTTCTGAGATGATTCAGATTATTGCCCTTTCTGAGATGATTCAGATTATTGCCCTTTCTGAGATGATTCAAATTATTGCCCTTTCTGAGATGATTCAGATTATTGCCCTTTCTGAGATGATTCAGATTATTGCCCTTTCTGAGATGATTTAGATTATTGCCCTTTCTGAGATGATTCAGATTATTGCCCTTTCTGAGATGATTCAGATTATTGCCCTTTCTGAGATGATTCAGATTATTGCCCTTTCTGAGATGATTCAGATTATTGCCCTTTCTGAGATGATTCAGATTATTGCCCTTTCTGAGATGATTTAGATTATTGCCCTTTCTGAGATGATTCAGATTATTGCCCTTTCTGAGATGATTCAGATTATTGCCCTTTCTGAGATGATTCAGATTATTGCCCTTTCTGAGATGATTCAGATTATTGCACAGCTGCAGGACATGAGGGCAGTCTTTGTTAGTTCTCGTCATGTTGTTTCTGATCCTCTGTTGACAGGTTTTCTCTGCACTCATGAAAGAAGGCGGCAAAGAGGCGGACCGCAACGGCAGCCCGGCGCTGAGGAGCTAACGGCTAACGGAACCGGCTCTTAGACTGGACCAGGTCTCTGACTGGACCAGGTCTGGGACTTGTCCAGGCCGCTGTGGTCCGTCACACAACTCCATCTGACATAAGGCCAGAATCATGCGCCACGTTTCCACCGCCTCTACTCTACTCTACTCTACTCTACTCTACTCTACTTCACTCTACTCTACTCTACTCTACTCTACACTACTCTACTTCACTCTACTCTACTCTACTCTACTCTACTCTACTCTACACTACTCTACTTCACTCTACTCTACTCTACTCTACTCTACTTCACTCTACTCTACTCTACTCTACTCTACTCTACTCTACTCTACTCTACTCTACTCTACTTCACTCTACTCTACTCTACTCTACTTCACTCTACTCTACTCTACTCTACTCTACTCTACTCTACTTCACTCTACTCTACTCTACTCTACTTCACTCTACTCTACTTCACTCTACTCTACTCTACCCTACTCTACTTCACTCTACTCTACTCTACTCTACTCTACTTCACTCTACTTCACTCTACTCTACTCTACTTCACTCTACTTCACTCTACTTCACTCTACTTCACTCTACTCTACTCTACTCTACTCTACTCTACTCTACTCTACTCTACTCTACTCTACTCTACTCTACTCTACTTTACTTCACTCTACTGTACTACACTCTACTCTACCCTAGAGTAGAACCGAGTAGATCCGAGGCGAGCTGAGTGGGGCTGGTGGAATCGGGGCTAAACTCCACGGTGTCGTTGTCAGTTTGACGGATGTTACAAACCAGTTGGACGTTTTACTTCAGCTTTGACGGTCTTTTAAAAAACCTGGACTTTTATGGTTTTATGAATGAGTTTTCACGTGAAGGAGTTGTCTTCTGTAGTGTTTTGCACAAGGGCACAAGGAAACCACTCGATGTGAACGCATTCACACAGAGAACGTTCTGTAGAAACTGAAGAAACTGTGAACCATTCGAACCACAATGATTTTTATTTTTACACATTTCAGAATTGAGCTGCTGGAATCCAACACTATTAGTATTAAACGCTTTTTATGTGGTTTCAAACATCTGAGTCTGAGGACGGCTGGACTGAGGAGAGATGTTATTATAATAACTTTTAATAATAACTTATGATGTCAACAATGTGAAAGGGCAGAACATGCACCGTGGAACGTTCCTCCTCTTGGAATGTTCCACTTTGCAGCTAAAACATGATCAGTTTGAAAAGACCATAAGTATTGCCACCGACTGGATGAAGACATGAATATATTTTGCACTCTTCCTCTCGTGGGCTGACCTCTCCACAGATCCTGACCGGTGGCATTATCCACATGAAAACTGTAGTGTGGTCCTGACACCAGCAGGGGGCAGCACTCAGTCACTTCAGAAACAAACTGAATCCTCCGTTACTGCAGCTCACTGTGACTTTTAGGATTCAATTCATTTTATTTGTATATCGCTCTAAATCTCCCCAGTCCTCAGTCCTCAGCCTCTAACTCCTCCTCTTCATCAAACGTCAGTATTTCCACAGCACTTTACAGCCGTGAACAGACGAGCATGGCTTTTGGCTTTTACTGCTTTTAGAAAGAACTCAGTAACACAGTGGTTTGTCCAATAGAGATGCTTTATAGTTATTTATCTTATTTACAATTTAATCAAACGTCATCCTGTTTTTTATGTTCTTACAATGTTCAAGACAACCAGCAGAGGGCAGCAGTCTGTGTGACCAGCAGAGGGCAGCAGTCTCTGTGTGACCAGCAGAGGGCAGCAGTTTGTGTGACCAGCAGAGGGCAGCAGTCTGTGTGACCACCAGAAGGCAGCAGTCTGTGTGACCAGCAGAGGGCAGCAGTCTGTGTGACCACCAGAGGGCAGCAGTCTGTGTGACCACCAGAAGGCAGCAGTCTGTGTGACCACCAGAGGGCAGCAGTCTGTGTGACCAGCAGAGGGCAGAAGTCTCTGTGTGACCACCAGAGGGCAGCAGTCTGTGTGACCACCAGAAGGCAGCAGTCTGTGTGACCACCAGAAGGCAGCAGTCTGTGTGACCAGCAGAGGGCAGCAGTCTGTGTGACCACCAGAAGGCAGCAGTCTGTGTGACCAGCAGAGGGCAGCAGTCTGTGTGACCACCAGAAGGCAGCAGTCTCTGTGACCACCAGAGGGCAGCAGTCTGTGTGACCAGCAGAGGGCAGCAGTCTGTGTGACCACCAGAAGGCAGCAGTCTGTGTGACCAGCAGAGGGCAGCAGTCTGTGTGACCACCAGAAGGCAGCAGTCTGTGTGACCAGCAGAAGGCAGCAGTCTGTGTGACCACCAGAGGGCAGAAGTCTCTGTGTGACCACCAGAGGGCAGCAGTCTGTGTGACCACCAGAAGGCAGCATCTGTGTGACCACCAGAAGGCAGCAGTCTGTGTGACCACCAGAGGGCAGTCTGTGTGACCACCAGAGGCCAGTCTGTGTGACACAGAGGGGCAGCAGTCTGTGTGACCCAGAGGCAGCAGTCTGTGTGACCACCAGGCAGCAAGCAGTCTGTGTGACCACCAGAGGCGGTCTGTTGCAGCAGTCTGTGTGACCAGCAGAGGGCAGCAGTCTGTGTGACCACCAGAAGGCAGCAGTCTGTGTGACCACCAGAAGGCAGCAGTCTGTGTGTGACCAGCAGAGGGCAGAAGTCTCTGTGTGACCACCAGAGGGCAGCAGTCTGTGTGACCACCAGAAGGCAGCAGTCTGTGTGACCACCAGAAGGCAGCAGTCTGTGTGACCAGCAGAGGGCAGCAGTCTCTGTGTGACCACCAGAGGGCAGCAGTCTGTGTGACCAGCAGAGCTGCAGCAGTCTGTGTGACCACCAGAAGGCAGCAGTCTGTGTGACCAGAGGGGCAGCAGTCTGTGTGACCACCAGAAGGCAGCAGTCTGTGTGACCACCAGAAGGCAGCAGTCTGTGTGTGACCAGCAGAGGGCAGAAGTCTCTGTGTGACCACCAGAGGGCAGCAGTCTGTGTGACCACCAGAAGGCAGCAGTCTGTGTGACCACCAGAAGGCAGCAGTCTGTGTGACCAGAGAGGGCAGCAGTCTCTGTGTGACCACCAGAGGGCAGCAGTCTGTGTGACCAGCAGAGGGCAGCAGTCTGTGTGACCAGCAGAGGGCAGCAGTTCTGTGTGACCACCAGAAGGCAGCAGTCTGTGTGACCACCAGGGCAGCAGTCTGTGTGACCAGCAGAGGGCAGCAGTCTGTGTGACCAGCAGAGGGCAGCAGTCTCCTGTGTGACCACCAGAGGGCAGCAGTCTCTGTGACCACCAGAGGGCAGCAGTCTGTGTGACCACCAGAGGGCAGCAGTCTGTGTGACCACCAGAGGGCAGCAGTCTGTGTGACCACCAGAGGGCAGCAGTCTCTGTGTGACCAGCAGAGGGCAGCAGTCTCTCTGTGACCAGCAGAGGGCAGCAGTCTCTGTGTGACCAGCAGAGGGCAGCAGTCTCTGTGTGACCAGCAGAGGGCAGCAGTCTCTGTGTGACCAGCAGAGGGCAGCAGTCTCTGTGTGACCAGCAGAGGGCAGCAGTCTCTGTGTGACCACCAGAGGGCAGCAGTCTGTGTAACTCACTCCAGCATTAGCTGCTGATCCATTGAAACTTTTGTGTTCTGAATTTAGTCTATGGTTTTGAAGCACTCCTTAAAAAACACATACCACACTTTTTCTACTTTTATTTGATCATGTTTTTTATGTTTTATTTAAAAACTCCAACAATACCACATCCGAGTCACTAACACTATGTTTGATGATTTGCTTCTTTACTTGTGTAAAAGTTTTTATGGACACAGAAAGTGCTGAACGCTGACATTATATTAGACACATGTTTTATTTTTGTCTTATTTTATTAAGTTTAACATTCCAGAGATTAGAGTGAGTTTAGTGTTTCCTGTGGTTGCTACAGTAATGCCTCCTCGTTCCTCTGTAGTTCTTTAAGTCTCTTTGTATCGAGTCATGTTTGCACTTTATGTCTGCGTTAAAGCGCCGTGTGCTTCTGCCACAGACTGTGGTGGAGCTGAAGGCAGTCTGTTGTTACAAAGTGCCAAACTACTCCACACACAACAAACTCTACTGCTGTGACATCACCTACAGCAGGGGCCTCTGTGAGCTTTCAGGGGCCTCCAGGAGCTAAAGGACCTTTTCTGAATGTTAACATACTGAGTCAAGTCAAACTGCAAATGTAACAATTTAGAAGTAATCTATTTTGATAGTGTCAGTCTCCATTCAGGGCTCTCACCTTCTGATAAACTCTGTCCCGGACGCTTAAAGTATCTCATTCTAGTCCTGAGGAAGTGTCTGTCTCATTCTAGTCCTGAGATCTCTGAGTGAAGACGTGGAGACCCCTGATGCAAGAGACCTGATCTGACTTTAGACTCATAAAGAAGCTAGTTTAAGTTTCTTACATGTGCTTTAAGTTCAAACTCATTCTTAATGTAAATTCAAAGAGTGGAATAGACAAAGTGCTAGAATCAAAGTGACTGTGGGAGCCCCAGCTCTGAGTGAGTTTGTCCTGAATGATGTATTTTCAAACTTGTGTCTTTAAAACTTGAATGATGAGAGTGAATTGTGATTACACTTGTTCACATTTGGAACGTGTTTGAGCTAAAACGTGCTCAGGATTTGTCCAAACACCATAAAACACGGATGAGTGACAGCTGCCAATCCACTTCCTGTTCAGTGTAACCTCCGACTCTTTCACTTTTTACTTTTCCAGCGACGTCTGTGACATTTCAAACCAAAAAATATATAAAAACCTCCTTTTTAAAGTGCCATAACATGTGACGTGTCAGAGACTGAAGACTCTGTCGTACTGCGGCCCGGAGCGAGGCCCGGAGCGAGGCCCGGAGCGAGGCCTGGAGCGAGGCCTGGAGTCTCACAGACAGAGGCGGAGACCCTGGCGGAGACCCTGACGGAGACCCTGGCGGAGACCCTGGCGGAGACCCTGGCGGAGACCCTGGCGGAGACCCTGGCGGAGACCCTGGCGGAGACCCTGGCGGAGACCCTGGCGGAGACCCTGGCGGAGACCCTGGCGGAGACCCTGGCGGAGACCCTGGCGGAGACCCTGGCGGAGACCCTGGCGGAGACCCTGGCGGCTACAGATAGAACACATTACTAAAAAAAAGTGCTCAAGTTCAATTGTGCTCGAAAGTTTAGACACCCAGGCAGAAATGTCGGCCATTTTTCTGCGATCATGAATGATGACGGTAAATGTGGAGGTTTTTCTAAGACCGTTGTATTTAAAATGAGGTATAACTCGTCTTCTCACAGTTTTAAATCTGTCTCAAACAGAAACTCCTTGACCCTGATCAGAAGTCTCCATCCCCCTGTCCCCTGGTCTCTCTCTGGTCTCTCTCTGGTCTCTCTCTGGTCTCTCTCTGGTCTCTCTCTCTGGTCTCTCTCTGGTCTCTCTCTGGTCTCTCTCTGGTCTCTCTCTGGTCTCTCTCTGGTCTCTCTCTGGTCTCTCTCTGGTCTCTCTCTCTGGTCTCTCTCTGGTCTCTCTCTGGTCTCTCTCTGGTCTCTCTCTGGTCTCTCTCTGGTCTCTCTGGTCTGCCTCTGGTCTCTCTGGTCTCTCTCTGGTCTGCCTCTGGTCTCTCTGGTCTCTCTCTGGTCTCTCGCTCTGGGTTCTCTCTGGTCTCTCTCTGGTCTCTCTCTCCGGTCTCTCTCTGGTATCTCTCTGGTCACCCTCTGGTCTGCCTCTGGTCTGCCACTGGTCTCTCTCTGGTCTCTCTCTGGTATCTGGTCTCTCGCTCTGGTCTCTGTCCGAAGTTGCCCGTTCCTCTTGGCACCCGTAAATTCCTGGGCTGCCTTGCATGAACGGCACCATGTGAGACCTCCTCAGAGCGGCTCCATGAACTTATCTGGCAACATGAGCGTCACACAAACCAGCACCGTCTGTTTCATTCAGAATCTCTGGATTTGGCCAAAACCACATTTCTGCTGCTGAACCGTTCTCCAAACACAACCCACTGCTCCGAGTGCAATACCAGGTGGGACGTGCCTCGCTGGTATCGCACCAGGCAGGATGTTTTCAGCTGGTATCGCACCAGGTGGGATGTTCTCTGCTGGTATCGCACCAGGCAGGATGTTTTCAGCTGGTATCGCACCAGGCGGGATGTTCTCAGCTGGTATCGCACCAGGTGGGATGTTCTCAGCTGGTATCGCACCAGGCAGGATGTTCTCAGCTGGTATCGCACCAGGTGGGATGTTCTCAGCTGGTAGTGCACCAGGTGGGATGTTCTCAGCTGGTAGTGCACCAGGTGGGATGTTCTCAGCTGGTATCGCACCAGGCAGGATGTTCTCAGCTGGTATCGCACCAGGTGGGATGTTCTCAGCTGGTAGTGCACCAGGTGGGATGTTCTCAGCTGGTAGTGCACCAGGTGGGATGTTCTCAGCTGGTAGTGCACCAGGTGGGATGTTCTCAGCTGGTAGTGCACCAGGTGGGATGTTCTCAGCTGGTAGTGCACCAGGTGGGATGTTCTCAGCTGGTAGTGCACCAGGTGGGATGTTTTCAGCTGGTATCGCACCAGGTGGGAGGTCCCTGTATGTTCATGTTTCAGCTGAATGTAAATAATGTACAGACTTGTTTCATATAAACCTCGACTTTAACTGTAAATAAACATCTGACCAATGCAGCGGTGTGTGTGTCTGTGTGTGTCTGTGTGTGTCTGTGTGTGTCTGTGTGTGTCTGTGTGTGTCTGTGTGTCTGTGTGTGTCTGTGTGTGTCTGTGTGTGTCTGTGTGTGTCTGTGTGTGTCTGTGTGTGTCTGTGTGTGTCTGTGTGTCTGTGTGTGTCTGTGTGTGTCTGTGTGTGTCTGTGTGTGTCTGTGTGTGTCTGTGTGTGTCTGTGTGTCTGTGTGTGTCTGTGTGTCTGTGTGTGTCTGTGTGTGTCTGTGTGTGTCTGTGTGTGTCTGTGTGTGTCTGTGTGTGTCTGTGTGTCTCTGTGTGTGTCTGTGTCTGTGTGTCTCTGTGTGTGTCTGTGTGTCTGTGTGTGTGTCTGTCTGTGTGTCTCTGTGTGTCTGTGTGTCTGTGTCTGTGTGTCTCTGTGTGTGTCTGTGTGTCTCTGTGTGTGTCTGTGTCTGTGTGTCTCTGTGTGTCTGTGTGTGTCTGTGTGTCTCTGTGTGTCTGTGCCTGTGTGTGTCTGTGTGTCTGTGTCTGTGTGTCTCTGTGTGTGTCTGTGTCTGTGTGTCTCTGTGTGTCTGTGTGTCTCTGTGTGTCTGTGTCTGTGTGTCTCTGTGTGTCTGTGTGTCTCTGTGTGTCTGTGTGTCTGTGTGTCTCTGTGTGTCTGTGTGTCTGTGTCTGTGTGTCTCTGTGTGTGTCTGTGTCTGTGTGTGTCTGTGTGTCTGTGTGTGTGTGTGTGTCTGTGTGTCTCTGTGTGTCTGTGTCTGTGTGTCTCTGTGTGTCTGTGTGTGTCTGTGTGTGTGTCTGTGTGTCTGTGTGTGTCTGTGTGTCTGTGTCTGTGTGTCTCTGTGTCTCTGTGTGTCTGTGTGTGTCTGTCTGTGTGTCTGTGTGTGTCTGTGTCTGTGTGTGTCTGTGTCTGTGTGTGTCTGTGTGTGTGTGTCAGTGTGTGTGTCTGTGTGTGTGTCTGTCTTTGTGTGTGTGTCTGTCTTTGTGTGTGTGTCTGTGTGTGTGTCTCTGTGTGTGTGTGTGTCTGTGTGTGTGTGTGTCTCTGTGTGTGTGTGTCTGTGTGTGTCTCTGTGTGTGTGTCTGTGTCTCTGTGTGTCTCTCTGTGTGTGTGTGTGTGTGTGTGTGTCTTTGTGTGTCCTTTATGTGTGTGTGTGTCTCCTTGATGTGTGTGTCTGTGTCTCCTTTGTGTGTGTGTCTCCTTTGTGTGTTTTTTTTCTCTGTGTGTGTCCTCGTCATGTGTTTCTTCTTATTGGTTAGGGAAGCTAAGCAGGGCAGGGACTGGTTAGTTTTGTGATGGGAGACTTCTGAGAACAGCAGGTGCCACAGTGGGGCGGCTGCGGCTGTAAAGTGCCAAACTTCCGTTGTGTCCTTAGGCAACACACTTCCCCCACATCAGAATGAGTCTGGTGTGTGTGTGAATGGTTGGTGGTGGTGGGAGGAGCCAATGGCACAGACTGGTTGCTTCTGTCAGTGTGCCCCAGGGCAGCTGTGGCTACAGTAGGAGGTTACTGTGGCCCCTGAGCAACGCACATGGTGAAAGGTTTATTAGAAAACATTTATCTCGTACAGACTGAGGTCAGGTCAGTGAGAGTGAAGCTGAGGATTGAAGGAACACAGCGGTCAAGAAGTCGACTGCAAAAGTTTTCAAAAGAAGTTTTGTGAATTGATTGTATTTGTTTGGATTATTACAGTCGATGTGTAACTGACAAATGCAGCATAAATGTGCCTCGACATCTCAGACTCTGGTGTTTAGTTAAATAATCTGATCCAACCCTATTTAAAATCATGAACGATGATGTTTTTATGGTCACAGAGCCCTGGAGTAGGACCCGGGCATTACCAGAGCGGATACAGCTGTATGTAATATATATATGTAATATATATATGTAATATATATATCATGTATTTATAATGACAATGAGAAGCACATAACGAGTCAGATAAACGAGAATAAATCCCCAACTTGTGTTTGTGAAGTCTTTGTGCAGGTGGACTCGGACACCTCCGTCACGTGTTTAGTCTCAGGCTGAGGACGGCTGAAGGAAGCCACCACCAGGGGGCGACTGTAGCACATTTATCTACACTAGAGTCAGCTGTGTTCTGTAAAACACACACACACGCACGCACGCACGCACACACACACAGTCTTAGGCACAGGTGCCACGATACCCTGTGTTCAATACAGGAGCAGATACATCAGTATAAGACACTGACTCGATCTCAGAATATAATTATAGAGATATGTTTAGTTTAGGAAAGCAGCTCTGCACAGGGACGGGCCTCCTGCTGGGACTGAGGAGCACAGGGACGGGCCTCCTGCTGGGACTGAGGAGCACAGGGACGGGCCTCCTGCTGGGACTGAGGAGCACAGGGACGGGCCTCCTGCTGGGACTGAGGAGCACAGGGACTGGCCTCATGCTGGAACTGAGGAGCACAGGGACGGGCCTCCTGCTGGGACTGAGGAGCACAGGGACTGGCCTCCTGCTGGGACTGAGGAGCACAGGGACTGGCCTCCTGCTGGGACTCTGAGGAGCACAGGGACTGGCCTCCTGCTGGGACTCTGAGGAGCACAGGGACTGGACTCCTGCTGGGACACTGAGGAGCACAGGGACTGGCCTCCTGCTGGGACACTGAGGAGCACAGGGACTGGCCTCCTGCTGGGACACTGAGGAGCACAGGGACTGGCCTCCTGCTGGGACACTGAGGAGCACAGGGACTGGCCTCCTGCTGGGACACTGAGGAGCACAGGGACTGGCCTCCTGCTGGTCCCAGAGTCAGGACTAAACATGGGGAGGAATTCAGATTTATGCAGCTAAAATCTGGAAGTTTTCCTGAAAATGTGAGACTGGTCTGTTCATTGCTATTTACCTGCAGTTCCATTTTGTGTTTCATGGCATTATAATGGAGCCCCATAAAATGTAGTATAGACCAAGGCATTGGTGTTGGAGTTGGTATTTTTAGATTTCAGAAAAGCCTTAAATCACTGTAAATCATCTAGCTTTCTTGACAACAATGGTTTACATCATGTGTTGAAATGCAACAGCGATGTGTTAAAATAAATGGGGGTGCCACAAGGACCCATTTTAGGGCCGCTGCTTTTCACATCATACATTAGAGACCAACATGTGTAAAGACACCTGTTAAATATGCACAAAATATAACAATACCTGGGTGTTATTTTGGGCCCTAAGTTAAGTTTTGTTGGGCATGTTTAAAAAATGACTAATACCATAAAAATAAATATAAATTGTTTCGAGTTGATTAGACCCTGTTTATCAGATCAAGCTGTTCGAGTTTACACGTCTCATTGTGCCTTTGTCTGGGACTGGCCACAACATCTGTAGTTATGTCTTTGTTGTCACAGAATCAACAGTTAAGACACAGTGTTGTCACACATGTGATAAATGTCACACATGTGATAAATGTCATACATGTGATAATGTCATAAATGTCACACATGTGATAAATGTCATACATGTGATAAATGTCACACATGTGATAAATGTCACACATGTGATAAATGTCATACATGTGATAATGTCATAAATGTCACACATGTGATAAATGTCATACATGTGATAAATGTCACACATGTGATAAATGTCACACATGTGATAAATGTCATACATGTGATAAATGTCATAAATGTCACACATGTGATAAATGTCATACATGTGATAAATGTCACACATGTGATAAATGTCATACATGTGATAAATGTCACACATGTGATAAATGTCACACATGTGATAAATGTCATACATGTGATAAATGTCATAAATGTCACACATGTGATAAATGTCATACATGTGATAAATGTCACACATGTGATAAATGTCACACATGTGATAAATGTCACACATGTGATAAATGTCATACATGTGATAAATGTCATACATATGATAAATGTCATACATGTGATAAATGTCACACATGTTGATAAATGTCATACATGTTGATAAATGTCACACATGTTGATAAATGTCATACATGTGATAAATGTCATACATGTGATAAATGTCATTCATGTTGATAAATGTCACACATGTGATAAATGTCATACATGTGATAAATGTCATACATGTGATAAATGTCATACATATGATAAATGTCATACATGTGATAAATGTCACACATGTTGATAAATGTCATACATGTGATAAATGTCATACATGTGATAAATGTCATACATGTGATAAATGTCACACATGTGATAAATGTCATACATGTGATAAATGTCACACATGTGATAAATGTCATACATGTGATAAATGTCATACATGTTGATAAATGTCACACATGTGATAAATGTCATACATGTGATAAATGTCACACATGTGATAAATGTCATACATGTGATAAATGTCACATATGTGATAAATGTCACACATGTTGATAAATGTCATACATGTTGATAAATGTCACACATGTTGATAAATGTCATACATGTTGATAAATGTCATACATGTGATATATGTCATACATGTGATAAATGTCATTCATGTTGATAAATGTCACACATGTTGATAAATGTCACACATGTGATAAATGTCATACATGTGATAAATGTCATTCATGTTGATAAATGTCACACATGATAAATGTCACACATTTTGGTTAATGTCACACATGTGATAAATGTCATACATGTGATAAATGTCATACATGTGATAAATGTCATACATGTGATAAATGTCACACATGTGATAAATGTCATACATGTGATAAATGTCACACATGTGATAAATGTCATACATGTGATAAATGTCACACATGGTGTCTCATGGTGAGGCTCTGCTAGTGTCTCATGGTGAGGCTGTGCTGGTGTCTCATGGTGAGGCTGTTCTGGTGTCTCATGGTGCGGCTGTGCTGGTGTCTCATGGTGAGGACGTGCTGGTGTCTCATGGTGAGGCTCTGCTGGTGTCTCATGGTGAGGCTGTGCTGGTGTCTCATGGTGAATCCATGCTGGTGTTTCATGGGGAGGCTGTGCTGGTGTCTCAAGGTGAATCCGTGCTGGTGTCTCATGGTGAGGCTCAGCTGGTGTCTCATGGTGAATCCGTGCTGGTGTCTCATGGTGAGGCTCTGCTGGTGTCTCATGGTGCGGCTGTGCTGGTGTCTCATGGTGAATCTGTGCTGGTGTCTCATGGTGAGGCTCTGCTGGTGTCTCATGGTGAATCCGTGCTGGTGTCTCATGGTGAGGCTCAGCTGGTGTCTCATGGTGAATCCGTGCTGGTGTCTCATGGTGCGGCTGTGCTGGTGTCTCATGGTGAATCCGTGCTGGTGTCTCATGGTGAGGGTCTGCTGGTGTCTCATGGTGAATCCGTGCTGGTGTCTCATGGTGAGGCTGTGCTGGTGTCTCATGGTGAGGCTGTGCTGGTGTCTCATGGTGAGGCTGTGCTGGTGTCTCATGGTGAGGCTGTGCTGGTGTCTCATGGTGAATCTGTGCTGGTGTCTCATGGTGAGGCTGTGCTGGTGTCTCATGGTGAGGCTGTTCTGGTGTCTCATGGTGAATCCGTGCCGGTGTCTCATGGTGAGGCTGTGCTGGTGTCTGATGGTGACGCTGTGCTGGTGTCTGATGGTGCGGCTGTGCTGGTGTCTCATGGTGAGGCTCTGCTGGTGTCTCATGGTGAGGCTGTGCTGGTGTCTCATGGTGAATCCGTGCTTTTGTCTCATGGTGAGGCTCTGCTGGTGTCTCATGGTGAGGCTCTGCTGGTGTCTCATGGTGTGGCTGTGCTGGTATCTCCTGGCGAGGCTGTGCTGGTGTCTCATGGTGAGGCTGTGCTGGTGTCTCATGGTGAGGCTCTGCTGGTGTCTCATGGCGATTCCATGCTGGTGTCTCATAGTGAGGCTGTGCTGGTGTCTCATGGTGAGGCTCTGCTGGTGTCTCATGGTGAATCCGTGCTGGTGTCTCATGGTGCGGCTGTGCTGGTGTCTCATGGTGAGGCTCTGCTGGTGTCTCATGGTGAGGCTGTGCTGGTGTCTCTAGGTGAGGCTGTGCTGGTGTCTCATGGTGAATCCGTGCTGGTGTCTCATGGTGAGGCTGTGCTGGTGTCTCATGTTGACGCTGTGCTGGTGTCTCATGGTGAGGCTGTGCTGGTGTCTCATGGTGAGGCTGTGCTGGTGTCTCATGGTGAGGCTGTGCTGGTGTCTCATGGTGAATCCGTGCTGATGTCTCATTGTGAGGCTGTGCTGGTGTCACATGGTGAGGCTCTGCTGGTGTCTCATGATGAGGCTCTGCTGGTGTCTCATGGTGAATCCGTGCTGGTGTCTCATGGTGAGGCTGTGCTGGTGTCTCATGGTGAGGCTGTGCTGGTGTCTCATGGTGAGGCTGTGCTGGTGTCTCATGGTGAAACCGTGCTTTTGTCTCATGGTGAGGCTCTGCTGGTGTCTCATGGTGAGGCTGTGCTGGTGTCTCATGGTGAGGCTGTGCTGGTGTCTCATGGTGAAACCGTGCTTTTGTCTCATGGTGAGGCTCTGCTGGTGTCTCATGGTGAGGCTGTGCTGGTGTCTCATGGTGCGGCTGTGCTGGTGTCTCATGGTGAGGCTGTGCTGGTGTCTCATGGTGAGGCTGTGCTGGTATCTCCTGGTGAGGCTGTGCTGGTGTCTCATGGTGAGGCTGTGCTTGTGTCTCATGGTGAGGCTGTGCTGGTGTCTCATGATGAGGCTCTGCTGGTGTCTCATGGTGAATCCGTGCTTTTGTCTCATGGTGAGGCTCTGCTGGTGTCTCATGGTGAGGCTGTGCTGGTGTCTCATGGTGAGGCTCTGCTGGTGTCTCATGGTGAATCCGTGCTGGTGTCTCATGGTGCGGCTGTGCTGGTGTCTCATGGTGAGGCTCTGCTGGTGTCTCATGGTGAGGCTGTGCTGGTGTCTGATGGTGCGGCTGTGCTGGTGTCTGATGGTGAGGCTCTGCTGGTGTCTCATGGTGAGGCTGTGCTGGTGTCTCATGGTGAGGCTGTGCTGGTGTCTCATGGTGAGGCTGTGCTGGTGTCTCATGGTGAGGCTGTGCTGGTGTCTCATGGTGAGGCTGTGCTGGTGTCTCATGGTGAGGCTGTGCTGGTGTGTCATGGTGAATCCGTGCTGGTGTCTCATTGTGAGGCTGTGCTGGTGTCACATGGTGAGGCTCTGCTGGTGTCTCATGATGAGGCTCTGCTGGTGTCTCATGGTGAGGCTGTGCTGGTGTCTCATGGTGAGGCTGTGCTGGTGTCTCATGGTGAGGCTCTGCTAGTGTCTCATGGTGAGGCTGTGCTGGTGTCTCATGGTGAGGCTGTGCTGGTGTCTCATGGTGCGGCTGTGCTGGTGTCTCATGGTGAGGACGTGCTGGTGTCTCATGGTGAGGCTCTGCTGGTGTCTCATGGTGAGGCTGTGCTGGTGTCTCATGGTGAATCCATGCTGGTGTTTCATGGGGAGGCTGTGCTGGTGTCTCAAGGTGAATCCGTGCTGGTGTCTCATGGTGAGGCTCAGCTGGTGTCTCATGGTCAATCCGTGCTGGTGTCTCATGGTGAGGCTCTGCTGGTGTCTCATGGTGCGGCTGTGCTGGTGTCTCATGGTGAATCTGTGCTGGTGTCTCATGGTGAGGCTCTGCTGGTGTCTCATGGTGAATCCGTGCTGGTGTCTCATGGTGAGGCTCAGCTGGTGTCTCATGGTGAATCCGTGCTGGTGTCTCATGGTGCGGCTGTGCTGGTGTCTCATGGTGAATCCGTGCTGGTGTCTCATGGTGAGGGTCTGCTGGTGTCTCATGGTGAATCCGTGCTGGTGTCTCATGGTGAGGCTGTGCTGGTGTCTCATGGTGAGGCTGTGCTGGTGTCTCATGGTGAGGCTGTGCTGGTGTCTCATGGTGAGGCTGTGCTGGTGTCTCATGGTGAATCTGTGCTGGTGTCTCATGGTGAGGCTGTGCTGGTGTCTCATGGTGAGGCTCTGCTAGTGTCTCATGGTGAGGCTGTGCTGGTGTCTCATGGTGAATCCGTGCTTTTGTCTCATGGTGAGGCTGTGCTGGTGTCTGATGGTGACGCTGTGCTGGTGTCTGATGGTGCGGCTGTGCTGGTGTCTCATGGTGAGGCTCTGCTGGTGTCTCATGATGAGGCTGTGCTGGTGTCTCATGGTGAATCCGTGCTTTTGTCTCATGGTGAGGCTCTGCTGGTGTCTCATGGTGAGGCTCTGCTGGTGTCTCATGGTGTGGCTGTGCTGGTATCTCCTGGCGAGGCTGTGCTGGTGTCTCATGGTGAGGCTGTGCTGGTGTCTCATGGTGAGGCTCTGCTGGTGTCTCATGGCGAATCCATGCTGGTGTCTCATAGTGAGGCTGTGCTGGTGTCTCATGGTGAGGCTCTGCTGGTGTCTCATGGTGAATCCGTGCTGGTGTCTCATGGTGCGGCTGTGCTGGTGTCTCATGGTGAGGCTCTGCTGGTGTCTCATGGTGAGGCTGTGCTGGTGTCTCTAGGTGAGGCTGTGCTGGTGTCTCATGGTGAATCCGTGCTGGTGTCTCATGGTGAGGCTGTGCTGGTGTCTCATGTTGACGCTGTGCTGGTGTCTCATGGTGAGGCTGTGCTGGTGTCTCATGGTGAGGCTGTGCTGGTGTCTCATGGTGAGGCTGTGCTGGTGTCTCATGGTGAATCCGTGCTGATGTCTCATTGTGAGGCTGTGCTGGTGTCACATGGTGAGGCTCTGCTGGTGTCTCATGATGATGCTCTGCTGGTGTCTCATGGTGAATCCGTGCTGGTGTCTCATGGTGAGGCTGTGCTGGTGTCTCATGGTGAGGCTGTGCTGGTGTCTCATGGTGAGGCTGTGCTGGTGTCTCATGGTGAAACTGTGCTTTTGTCTCATGGTGAGGCTCTGCTGGTGTCTCATGGTGAGGCTGTGCTGGTGTCTCATGGTGAGGTTGTGCTGGTGTCTCATGGTGAAACCGTGCTTTTGTCTCATGGTGAGGCTCTGCTGGTGTCTCATGGTGAGGCTGTGCTGGTGTCTCATGGTGCGGCTGTGCTGGTGTCTCATGGTGAGGCTGTGCTGGTGTCTCATGGTGAGGCTGTGCTGGTATCTCCTGGTGAGGCTGTGCTGGTGTCTCATGGTGAGGCTGTGCTTGTGTCTCATGGTGAGGCTGTGCTGGTGTCTCATGATGAGGCTCTGCTGGTGTCTCATGGTGAATCCGTGCTTTTGTCTCATGGTGAGGCTCTGCTGGTGTCTCATGGTGAGGCTGTGCTGGTGTCTCATGGTGAGGCTCTGCTGGTGTCTCATGGTGAATCCGTGCTGGTGTCTCATGGTGCGGCTGTGCTGGTGTCTCATGGTGAGGCTCTGCTGGTGTCTCATGGTGAGGCTGTGCTGGTGTCTGATGGTGCGGCTGTGCTGGTGTCTGATGGTGAGGCTCTGCTGGTGTCTCATGGTGAGGCTGTGCTGGTGTCTCATGGTGAGGCTGTGCTGGTGTCTCATGGTGAGGCTGTGCTGGTGTCTCATGGTGAGGCTGTGCTGGTGTCTCATGGTGAATCCGTGCTGGTGTCTCATTGTGAGGCTGTGCTGGTGTCACATGGTGAGGCTCTGCTGGTGTCTCATGATGAGGCTCTGCTGGTGTCTCATGGTGAGGCTGTGCTGGTGTCTCATGGTGAGGCTGTGCTGGTGTCTCATGGTGAGGCTGTGCTGGTGTCTCATGGTGAGGCTGTGCTGGTGTCTCATGGTGAAACCGTGCTTTTGTCTCATGGTGAGGCTCTGCTGGTGTCTCATGGTGAAACCGTGCTTTTGTTTCATGGTGAGGCTCTGCTGGTGTCTCATGGTGAGGCTGTGCTGGTGTCTCATGGTGAGGCTGTGCTGGTGTCTCATGGTGAAATCGTGCTTTTGTCTCATGGTGAGGCTCTGCTGGTGTCTCATGGTGAGGCTGTGCTGGTGTCTCATGGTGCGGCTGTGCTGGTGTCTCATGGTGAGGCTGTGCTGGTGTCTCATGGTGAGGCTCTGCTGGTGTCTCATGGTGAGGCTGTGCTGGTGTCTCATGGTTCGGCTGTGCTGGTGTCTCATGGTGAGGCTGTGCTGGTGTCTCATGGTGAGGCTGTGCTGGTGTCTCATGGTGAGGCTGTGCTGGTGTCTCATGGTGAGGCTCTGCTGGTGTCTCATGGTGAGGCTGTGCTGGTGTCTCATGGTGAGGCTCTGCTGGTGTCTCATGGTGAGGCTGTGCTGGTGACTCACAGTGAGGCTGTGCTGGTGTCTCATGGTGAGGCTCTGCTGGTGTCTCATGGTGAATCCGTGCTGGTGTCTCATGGTGCGGCTGTGCTGGTGTCTCATGGTGAGGCTCTGCTGGTGTCTCATGGTGAGGCTGTGCTGGTGTCTCATGGTGAGGCTGTGCTGGTGTCTCATGGTGACGCTGTGCTGTTGTCTGATGGTGCGGCTGTGCTGGTGTCAGATGTTGAGGCTCTGCTGGTGTCTCATGGTGAGGCTCTGCTGGTGTCTCATGGTGAGGCTGTGCTGGTGTCTCATGGTGAGGCTGTGCTGGTGTCTCATGGTGAGGCTGTGCTGGTGTCTCATGGTGAATCCGTGCTGGTGTCTCATTGTGAGGCTGTGCTGGTGTCACATGGTGAGGCTCTGCTGGTGTCTCATGATGAGGCTCTGCTGGTGTCTCATGGTGAATCCGTGCTGGTGTCTCATGGTGAGGCTGTGCTGGTGTCTCATGGTGAGGCTGTGCTGGTGTCTCATGGTGAGGCTCTGCTGGTGTCTCATGGTGAGGCTGTGCTGGTGTCTCATGGTGAGGCTGTGCTGGTGTCTCATGGTGAAACCGTGCTTTTGTCTCATGGTGAGGCTCTGCTGGTGTCTCATGGTGAGGCTGTGCTGGTGTCTCATGGTGCGGCTGTGCTGGTGTCTCATGGTGAGGCTCTGCTGGTGTCTCATGGTGACGCTGTGCTGGTGTCTCATGGTGAGGCTTTGCTTGTGTCTCATGGTGAGGCTCTGCTGGTGTCTCATGGTGAGGCTCTGCTGGTGTCTCATGGTGAGGCTGTGCTGGTGTCTCATGGTGAGGCTCTGCTGGTGTCTCATGGTGAGGCTCTGCTGGTGTCTCATGGTGAGGCTGTGCTGGTGTCTCATGGTGAGGCTGTGCTGGTGTCTCATGGTGAGGCTCTGCTGGTGTCTCATGGTGAGGCTCTGCTGGTGTCTCATGGTGACGCTGTGCTGGTGTCTCATGGTGAGGCTTTGCTTGTGTCTCATGGTGAGGCTCTGCTGGTGTCTCATGGTGAGGCTGTGCTGGTGTCTCATGGTGAGGCTGTGCTGGTGTCTCATGGTGAGGCTCTGCTGGTGTCTCATGGTGAGGCTCTGCTGGTGTCTCATGGTGAGGCTGTGCTGGTGTCTCATGGTGAGGCTGTGCTGGTGTCTCATGGTGAGGCTCTGCTGGTGTCTCATGGTGAGGCTGTGCTGGTGTCTCATGGTGAGGCTGTGCTGGTGTCTCATGGTGAATCCGTGCTGGTGTCTCATGGTGAGGCTGTGCTGGTGTCTCATGTTGAGGCTCTGCTGGTGTCTCATGGTGAGGCTCTGCTGGTGTCTCATGGTGAGGCTGTGCTGGTGTCTCATGGTGAGGCTGTGCTGGTGTCTCATGGTGAGGCTCTGCTGGTGTCTCATGGTGAGGCTGTGCTGGTGTCTCATGGTGAGGCTGTGCTGGTGTCTCATGGTGAATCCGTGCTGGTGTCTCATGGTGAGGCTGTGCTGGTGTCTCATGGTGAGGCTGTGCTGGTGTCTCATGGTGAGGCTCTGCTGGTGTCTCATGGTGAATCCGTGCTGGTGTCTCATGGTGCGGCTGTGCTGGTGTCTCATGGTGAGGCTCTGCTGGTGTCTCATGGTGAGGCTGTGCTGGTGTCTGATGGTGCGGCTGTGCTGGTGTCAGATGTTGAGGCTCTGCTGGTGTCTCATGGTGAGGCTCTGCTGGTGTCTCATGGTGAGGCTGTGCTGGTGTCTCATGGTGAGGCTGTGCTGGTGTCTCATGGTGAGGCTGTGCTGGTGTCTCATGGTGAGGCTGTGCTGGTGTCTCATGGTGAATCCGTGCTGGTGTCTCATTGTGAGGCTGTGCTGGTGTCACATGGTGAGGCTCTGCTGGTGTCTCATGATGAGGCTCTGCTGGTGTCTCATGGTGAATCCGTGCTGGTGTCTCATGGTGAGGCTGTGCTGGTGTCTCATGGTGAGGCTGTGCTGGTGTCTCATGGTGAGGCTCTGCTGGTGTCTCATGGTGAGGCTGTGCTGGTGTCTCATGGTGAAACCGTGCTTTTGTCTCATGGTGAGGCTCTGCTGGTGTCTCATGGTGAGGCTGTGCTGGTGTCTCATGGTGCGGCTGTGCTGGTGTCTCATGGTGAGGCTCTGCTGGTGTCTCATGGTGACGCTGTGCTGGTGTCTCATGGTGAGGCTTTGCTTGTGTCTCATGGTGAGGCTCTGCTGGTGTCTCATGGTGAGGCTCTGCTGGTGTCTCATGGTGAGGCTGTGCTGGTGTCTCATGGTGAGGCTCTGCTGGTGTCTCATGGTGAGGCTCTGCTGGTGTCTCATGGTGAGGCTGTGCTGGTGTCTCATGGTGAGGCTGTGCTGGTGTCTCATGGTGAGGCTCTGCTGGTGTCTCATGGTGAGGCTCTGCTGGTGTCTCATGGTGACGCTGTGCTGGTGTCTCATGGTGAGGCTTTGCTTGTGTCTCATGGTGAGGCTCTGCTGGTGTCTCATGGTGAGGCTCTGCTGGTGTCTCATGGTGAGGCTGTGCTGGTGTCTCATGGTGAGGCTCTGCTGGTGTCTCATGGTGAGGCTCTGCTGGTGTCTCATGGTGAGGCTGTGCTGGTGTCTCATGGTGAGGCTGTGCTGGTGTCTCATGGTGAGGCTCTGCTGGTGTCTCATGGTGAGGCTGTGCTGGTGTCTCATGGTGAGGCTGTGCTGGTGTCTCATGGTGAATCCGTGCTTGTGTCTCATGGTGAGGCTGTGCTGGTGTCTCATGTTGAGGCTCTGCTGGTGTCTCATGGTGAGGCTCTGCTGGTGTCTCATGGTGAGGCTGTGCTGGTGTCTCATGGTGAGGCTGTGCTGGTGTCTCATGGTGAGGCTCTGCTGGTGTCTCATGGTGAGGCTGTGCTGGTGTCTCATGGTGAGGCTGTGCTGGTGTCTCATGGTGAATCCGTGCTGGTGTCTCATGGTGAGGCTGTGCTGGTGTCTCATGTTGACGCTGTGCTGGTGTCTGATGGTGCGGCTGTGCTGGTGTCTGATGGTGAGGCTCTGCTGATGTCTCATGGTGAGGCTGTGCTGGTGTCTCATGGTGAGGCTGTGCTGGTGTCTCATGGTGAGGCTGTGCTGGTGTCTCATGGTGAATCCGTGCTGGTGTCTCATTGTGAGGCTGTGCTGGTGTCGCATGGTGAGGCTCTGCTGGTGTCTCATGATGAGGCTCTGCTGGTGTCTCATGGTGAGGCTGTGCTGGTGTCTCATGGTGAGGCTGTGCTGGTGTCTCATGGTGAAACCGTGCTTTTGTCTCATGGTGAGGCTCTGCTGGTGTCTCATGGTGAGGCTGTGCTGGTGTCTCATGGTGCGGCTGTGCTGGTGTCTCATGGTGAGGCTGTGCTGGTGTCTCATGGTGAGGCTGTGCTGGTATCTCCTGGTGAGGCTGTGCTGGTGTCTCATGGTGAGGCTCTGCTGGTGTCTCATGGTGAGGCTGTGCTGGTGTCTCATGGTGAGGCTGTGCTGGTGTCTCATGGTGAATCCGTGCTGGTGTCTCATGGTGAGGCTGTGCTGGTGTCTCATGTTGACGCTGTGCTGGTGTCTGATGGTGAGGCTGTGCTGGTGTCTGATGGTGAGGCTCTGCTGATGTCTCATGGTGAGGCTGTGCTGGTGTCTCATGGTGAGGCTGTGCTGGTGTCTCATGGTGAGGCTGTGCTGGTGTCTCATGGTGAATCCGTGCTGGTGTCTCATTGTGAGGCTGTGCTGGTGTCGCATGGTGAGGCTCTGCTGGTGTCTCATGATGAGGCTCTGCTGGTGTCTCATGGTGAGGCTGTGCTGGTGTCTCATGGTGAGGCTGTGCTGGTGTCTCATGGTGAAACCGTGCTTTTGTCTCATGGTGAGGCTCTGCTGGTGTCTCATGGTGAGGCTGTGCTGGTGTCTCATGGTGCGGCTGTGCTGGTGTCTCATGGTGAGGCTGTGCTGGTATCTCCTGGCGAGGCTGTGCTGGTGTCTCATGGTGAGGCTGTGCTGGTGTCTCATGGTGAGGCTGTGCTGGTGTCTCATGATGAGGCTCTGCTGGTGTCTCATGGTGAATCCGTGCTTTTGTCTCATGGTGAGGCTCTGCTGGTGTCTCATGGTGAGGCTGTGCTGGTGTCTCATGGTGAGGCTGTGCTGGTGTCTCATGGTGAATCCGTGCTGGTGTCTCATGGTGAGGCTGTGCTGGTGTCACATGGTGAGGCTCTGCTGGTGTCTCATGGTGAGGCTGTGCTGGTGTCTGATGGTGCGGCTGTGCTGGTGTCACATGGTGAGGCTCTGCTGGTGTCTCATGGTGAGGCTGTGCTGGTGTCTCATGGTGAGGCTGTGCTGGTGTCTCATGGTGAATCCGTGCTGGTGTCTCATGGTGAGGCTGTGCTGGTGTCTCATGGTGAGGCTGTGCTGGTGTCTCATGGTGACGCTGTGCTGGTGTCTGATGGTGCGGCTGTGCTGGTGTCTGATGGTGAGGCTCTGCTGATGTCTCATGGTGAGGCTGTGCTGGTGTCTCATGGTGAGGCTGTGCTGGTGTCTCATGGTGAGGCTGTGCTGGTGTCTCATGGTGAGGCTCTGCTGGTGTCTCATGGTGAGGCTGTGCTGGTGTCACATGGTGAGGCTCTGCTGGTGTCTCATGATGAGGCTCTGCTGGTGTCTCATGGTGAATCCGTGCTGGTGTCTCATGGTGAGGCTGTGCTGGTGTCTCATGGTGAGGCTGTGCTGGTGTCACATGGTGAGTGTAGCCAATAATTCCCTTTGGCTGACGTGTCCACAATTTGGTACAGAAATCAGACGAAGATATCCAAGTTTAACATCTGCATTTAATTATCTTTACAATCAGATACAGAATATTCAACAAAAAAGTGCTCCTACAACTAATATGTCCCTCTCCTCTTCCCCTGCGCTAACCTTCCCCCCAGAACTCAAACCAACAGTTTTATCAAGACGTCTGATGATGTCACTTGTGGGACTGGTCTGGCCCCTGGTCCTGGTCTGGACCCGGTCTTCCATCTCCACCTGAGCAAACAATGCCCCCCACCACTGGGCGCCTGATTGTGTTGGACTTTTGCCCTCGTCGAGAGTGGGAGAGAGCATTTGTTTATTCTTGGAGTCAATAATTGTCTGGTTTTGTAAGCTGGTCATCTCTATGATTCCTGAGTGCATATTCCTTTGTCTGATGTGCAGCATTTTGTGAATATTCGTCAGTGAGGCTCTGTTAGGACAGGTCTCATGATGAGTCCCTCTGCTGGTGTCTCATGGGGGAGTGTCCGTAGAGACAGGCTAAAGGGGTAGGTGTCCCGGTTAGAGACGGGTCCTAGAGGGGAGTGTCCCGGTTAGAGACAGGTCCTAAAGGTGAGTGTCCCGGTTAGAGACGGGTCCTAAAGGTCAGTGTCCCGGTTAGAAACGGGTCCTAGAGGGGAGTGTCCCGGTTAGAGACGGGTCCTAAAGGTCAGTGTCCCGGTTAGAGACGGGTCCTAGAGGTGCGTGTCCCGGTTAGAGACAGGTCCTAGAGGGGAGTGTCCCGGTTAGAGACAGGTCCTAGAGGGGAGTGTCCCGGTTAGAGACAGGTCCTAGAGGTGAGTGTCCCGGTTAGAGACGGGTCCTAGAGGGGAGTGTCCCGGTTAGAGACGGGTCCTAGAGGTCAGTGTCCCGGTTAGAGACGGGTCCTAAAGGGGAGTGTCCCGGTTAGAGACAGGTCCTAGAGGGGAGTGTCCCGGTTAGAGACGGGTCCTAGAGGTGAGTGTCCCGGTTAGAGACGGGTCCTAGAGGTGACTGTCCCGGTTAGAGACAGGTCCTAGAGGGGAGTGTCCCGGTTAGAGACAGGTCCTAGAGGTGAGTGTCCCGGTTAGAGACGGGTCCTAGAGGTGAGTGTCCCGGTTAGAGACGGGTCCTAGAGGGGAGTGTCCCGGTTAGAGACGGGTCCTAGAGGTCAGTGTCCCGGTTAGAGACGGGTCCTAAAGGGGAGTGTCCCGGTTAGAGACAGGTCCTAGAGGGGAGTGTCCCGGTTAGAGACAGGTCCTAGAGGTGACTGTCCCGGTTAGAGACAGGTCCTAGAGGGGAGTGTCCCGGTTAGAGACAGGTCCTAGAGGTGAGTGTCCCGGTTAGAGACGGGTCCTAGAGGTGAGTGTCCCGGTTAGAGACGGGTCCTAGAGGGGAGTGTCCCGGTTAGAGATGGGTCCTAAAGGTCAGTGTCCCGGTTAGAGACGGGTCCTAGAGGGGAGTGTCCCGGTTAGAGACAGGTCCTAGAGGGGAGTGTCCCGGTTAGAGACGGGTCCTAGAGGGGAGTGTCCCGGTTAGAGACGGGTCCTAGAGGTGAGTGTCCCGGTTAGAGACAGGTCCTAGAGGGGAGTGTCCCGGTTAGAGACAGGTCCTAAAGGTCAGTGTCCCGGTTAGAGACGGGTCCTAGAGGGGAGTGTCCCGGTTAGAGACGGGTCCTAGAGGTGAGTGTCCCGGTTAGAGACGGGTCCTAGAGGGGAGTGTCCCGGTTAGAGACGGGTCCTAGAGGGGAGTGTCCCGGTTAGAGACAGGTCCTAGAGGTGCGTGTCCCGGTTAGAGACGGGTCCTAAAGGTCAGTGTCCCGGTTAGAGACGGGTCCTAAAGGTCAGTGTCCCGGTTAGAGACGGGTCCTAAAGGTCAGTGTCCCGGTTAGAGACGGGTCCTAAAGGTCAGTGTCCCGGTTAGAGACGGGTCCTAAAGGTGACTGTCCCGGTTAGAGACGGGTCCTAGAGGTGACTGTCCCGGTTAGAGACGGGTCCTAAAGGTGACTGTCCCGGTTAGAGACGGGTGCTAGAGGTGACTGTCCCGGTTAGAGACGGGTCCTAGAGGGGAGTGTCCCGGTTAGAGACAGGTCCTAAAGGTCAGTGTCCCGGTTAGAGACGGGTCCTAAAGGTGACTGTCCCGGTTAGAGACGGGTGCTAGAGGTGACTGTCCCGGTTAGAGACGGGTCCTAGAGGTGACTGTCCCGGTTAGAGACGGGTCCTAGAGGGGAGTGTCCCGGTTAGAGACGGGTCCTAGAGGTGACTGTCCCGGTTAGAGACAGGTCCTAAAGGTGACTGTCCCGGTTAGAGACGGGTCCTAGAGGGGAGTGTCCCGGTTAGAGACGGGTGCTAGAGGTGACTGTCCCGGTTAGAGACGGGTCCTAAAGGGGAGTGTCCCGGTTAGAGACGGGTCCTAGAGGGGAGTGTCCCGGTTAGAGACGGGTCCTAGAGGTGACTGTCCCGGTTAGAGACGGGTCCTAGAGGGGAGTGTCCCGGTTAGAGACGGGTCCTAGAGGTGACTGTCCCGGTTAGAGACGGGTCCTAGAGGTGACTGTCCCGGTTAGAGACGGGTCCTAGAGGGGAGTGTCCCGGTTAGAGACGGGTCCTAGAGGTGACTGTCCCGGTTAGAGACGGGTCCTAGAGGTGACTGTCCCGGTTAGAGACGGGTCCTAGAGGGGAGTGTCCCGGTTAGAGACGGGTCCTAGAGGGGAGTGTCCCGGTTAGAGACGGGTCCTAAAGGTGACTGTCCCGGTTAGAGACAGGTCCTAAAGGTGACTGTCCCGGTTAGAGACAGGTCCTAAAGGTGACTGTCCCGGTTAGAGACAGGTCCTACCTAGAGGTGCGTCTGTAAAGGGGAATAATGCAGTTTACATTGGAGTGTAGAATCAATCAGTCATTATGTATTCGTTTCGTGAAGAAGTCGATTCTAATGTAAGCTGTTGCTAAGGTGGTTGCTAAAGGAAGTGGGAGTGTCCCTGCGATTGAAGACGTGTGATTGGTCAGGATCACAGAGAGATCTAAACAGCAGATTCAAGCCCAAAATGGTGGGTGTGACACAAACTACTGAGCTGCAGGAGTCAGTAGGAGCATCTCTAGTAAAAACAGCAGTTATCTGCATTGATTTTAGATCAATGTTTAAGTCGACATTCAAACACAAGTTTGTTATGTGTGTAGAAGCAGATGGTTTCTCTCTCCGAGTGTGTGCGTGTGTGTATGAGCGTGTGTGTGTGCGTGTGTGTATGAGGGTGTGTGTGTGCGTGTGTGTATGAGCGTGTGTGTGTGCGTGTGTGTATGAGGGCGTGTGTGTGCGTGTGTGTATGAGGGTGTGTGTGTGCGTGTGTGTATGAGCGTGTGTGTGTGCGTGTGTGTATGAGCGTGTGTGTGTCTCTCTGTGTGTGTGTGTGTGCGTGTGTGTATGAGCGTGTGTGTGTGCGTGTGTGTATGAGGGTGTGTGTGTGCGTGTGTGTATGAGCGTGTGTGTGTCTCTCTGTCTGTGTGTGTGTGTGCGTGTGTGTATGAGCGTGTGTGTGTCTCTCTGTCTGTGTGTGTGTGTGCGTGTGTGTATGAGCGTGTGTGTGTGTGTGTGTGTGCGTGTGTGTGTGTATGAGGGTGTGTGTGTGCGTGTGTGTATGAGCGTGTGTGTGTGCGTGTGTGTATGAGGGTGTGTGTGTGCGTGGGTGTATGAGCGTGTGTGTGTGTGTCTCTCTGTCTGTGTGTGTGTGTGTGTGTGTGTGTCTCTCTGTCTGTGTGTGTGTGTAGCTTGTCTTTTGCCTGTCTCTGCTCACCTCTCTGTCTCTGGCTAAACTTTGCCCACACCTCATCAGATCAGTTTCTGATTCTGTCTTTGCCAAAAAATCAAAAGAGGACAAAGTTTTCAGAAATACTTTCATTTACAAAGAAGAACCTTGACCTGTTTAAACATGTCTGCCACGAAAAGTTTAAAGAAGGGCACAATATTCCTGTCTGTCTCCTAGTGTTGTCCTGGTCCTCTCCTGTCTGTCTCCTAGTGTTGTCCTGGTCCTCTCCTGTCTGTCTCCTAGTGTGGTCCTGGTCCTCTCCTGTCTGTCTCCTAGTGTTGTGCTGGTCCTCTCCTGTCTGTCTCCTAGTGTTGTGCTGGTCCTCTCCTGTCTGTCTCCTAGTGTTGTGCTGGTCCTCTCCTGTCTGTCTCCTAGTGTTGTGCTGGTCCTCTCCTGTCTGTCTCCTAGTGTTGTCCTGGTCCTCTCCTGTCTGTCTCCTAGTGTTGTGCTGGTCCTCTCCTCTCTTTCTCCTAGTGTTGTGCTGGTCCTCTCCTGTCTGTCTCCTAGTGTTGTCCTGGTCCTCTCCTGTCTGTCTCCTAGTGTTGTCCTGGTCCTCTCCTGTCTGTCTCCTAGTGTTGTCCTGGTCCTCTCCTGTCTGTCTCCTAGTGTTGTCCTGGTCCTCTCCTGTCTGTCTCCTAGTGTTGTCCTGGTCCTCTCCTGTCTGTCTCCTAGTGTTGTGCTGGTCCTCTCCTGTCTGTCTCCTAGTGTTGTGCTGGTCCTCTCCTGTCTGTCTCCTAGTGTTGTGCTGGTCCTCTCCTGTCTGTCTCCTAGTGTTGTCCTGGTCCTCTCCTGTCTGTCTCCTAGTGTTGTGCTGGTCCTCTCCTGTCTGTCTCCTAGTGTTGTGCTGGTCCTCTCCTGTCTGTCTCCTAGTGTTGTGCTGGTCCTCTCCTGTCTGTCTCCTAGTGTTGTGCTGGTCCTCTCCTGTCTGTCTCCTAGTGTTGTCCTGGTCCTCTCCTGTCTGTCTCCTAGTGTGGTCCTGGTCCTCTCCTGTCTGTCTCCTAGTGTTGTCCTGGTCCTCTCCTGTCTGTCTCCT